AAAGAATCACTTGAACCTGAGAGGCAAAGGTTGCAGTGAGCTGAGACTGTACCACTGCACTCTAGCCTGGGACATAGAATAAAACTCCATCTCAAAAAAAAACAAAAAACTGAGAATGTACTATTACTTTATATTTAAGAATGATTTTTTTTTTTTGGTGTTGTACTTCAACTGACAAATTCAACTGATTTACTTGATAGTACAATGCAAATTAAAAACTAAATTGTCAGTGTTGTACTGACAACTCAAAAATGTCAACTTAAGAAAACGTACTTCACTGTTCTGCTGTCATATATCATTTAAACATTTATCTTGTGCATCAATGATTCACAAGGTAAGGAGACATCAAATTCACCTAGAGGGCTTTTTTTTTTTTTTTTTGAGACGGAGTTTTGCTCTTGTTACCCAGGCTGGAGTGCAATGGCACGATCTTGGCTCACCACAACCTCCGCCTCCTGGATTCAGGCAATTCTCCTGCCTCAGCCTCCTGAGTAGCTGGGATTACAGGCACATGCCACCATGCCCAGCTAATTTTTTTATTTTTTTAGTAGAGACGGGGTTTCACCATGTTGACCAGGATGGTCTCGATCTCTTGACCTCGTGATCCACCTGCGTCGGCCTCCCAAAGTGCTGGGATTATAGGCTTGAACCACCGCGCCCAGCCAGAAGGCTCTTTTTAACTAAACGTACCTAAGATTTTAAACACCCTTTTCTCCTGCAAACACCCCATCCACTGAGGGTCCCTGTCACGGTTAATAATCATTATGAATAGGAGAGGTCACAACCCTGAGATGTAAAGTGGCAGAATAAAGGATGAGACATACTGTGCAAATAGTCCCTTGTTTCTTTTTCCTTCTTCTACAGTTGAACCCAAAAGTGCCAAAACAGAACCATCACAAATTGACAGGCAACAGACAAGTTTAAGAATTAGATTTACGCCAGGTGCAGTGGCTCATACCTGTAATCCCAGCACTTTGGGAGGCTGAAGTGGGCAGATCACAAGGTCAGGAGTTCAAGACCAGCCTGGCCAACATGGTGAAACCCCATCTCTACTAAAAACACAAAAAATTAGCTGGGCATGGTGATGCACACCTGTAATCTCAGCAATTCGGGAGGCTGAGGTAGGAGAATTGCTTGAACCAGGACCCAGGAGGTGGAAGTTGCAGTGAGCCAAGATTGCACCACTGCACTCCAGTCTGGGCTACAGAGCAAGACTCCATCTCAAAAAAAAAAAAAAAAAAAAACCCAATTAGGTTAAACTTTTAGATTTACTAATTCCAAAGATCCCAAGGGTGGTTTCTCATCAGAACCACCAGAGAAGCTTGTTCAAAATGTAAGTTCCTGGGTCCCAACTCGAGAGATTGTACTTTTCCTGGCAATCTATGTTTTAACCAAATATACCTGTTGTTGTTTCTGAGCCAGCATTTAAGAACCCTGTTCTTAATTTTAGACTATATCAGTGGGGTCTACTTTAGCTTTTTTCTTTCTTTACAGATTATTAAAGTCCCGATGGCTCAAACTCAAAGAACTTTCTAAAGAATATTTTTTAAAGGACAATTTCTCTTTAAAGAAGCTAGTTCTCTAAGAAAGAGATTTAAGCGGCTGGGTGAAGTGGCTCACACTTGTAATCCCAGCACTTTGGGAGGCTGAGGCCATCGGATCAGAAGGTCAGGAGTTCAAGACCAACCTGGCCAACACAGTGAAACCCCATCTCTACTAAAAATACAAAAATTAGTTGGGCATTGTGGCGGGCACCTGTAATCCCAGCTACTCAGGAGGCTGAGGCAGAAGAATTGCTTGAACCTGGGAGACGGAGGTTGCAGTGAGCCAAGATCATGCCACTGCACTACAGCCCGGGCAACAGAACTAGACTCTGTATCAAAAAAAAAAAAAAGGAGATTTAAGTATATCGAAACATTTAAATTTTGAGTAGTGACAACTTAAATTTAATAACCAATTAAAAGTAAAAGCAAAGTAGTCTGAAGTTATAATGTATCTGAGAAAGAATAAAATTACCATAATTTCTAATTACTTAGAAATCTCTAATTCCAATGAATTCAAGGTTCAGTTTTTAATTTGCATTGTACCACCATGTAAATTTGAAGAATTTTGGCCCTGTGATATTAACTTAACTAGAACAGATATAATAGAATAGCATGAGACATTAAAAATAATGATTTAGATACATATTAGAGGCCTTTGATATACGGTAGAAATGTTGTTAGCTAACACCAACAGTATTCCAATCAGGTATATCTGTTATGTGTGTCTGCATAGAGACATTTCAGTAAAGAGAAATATCAAAATGTTAACAGTGGAATAGCAAAGTTATCAGTAAATGGGAGGATCTGGAATAAATTTTGCTTTCATATCTATGATTTTGTTTTATATTTATGAACAGAAAAAATGAGCTATTTTTATTGTTGAAAATGTGTCTGGAGCTTTAACATACAAAATGTAATGTAACTAGAATCTTAAAGTAGCCAAAACAATAGATCTGAATATCTGGACTGCATGTTAGTAAGAACGGTAAGACAATCAACAGAAATCTGAAATTAGATTTCAGTCATATCTGGCTTAATAACAGATACGTTCTGAGAAAGGCGATTTCCTCATTGTGCAAAGATCATCGAACAGACTTATACAAACCCATCTGGTACAGCCTACCACACACCTAGGATACAGGATATAGCCTACTGCTTCTAGGCTACAAACCTGTACAGCACGTTACTATATTGAATATTGTAAGCAACTGTAACACAATGGTAAGTATTTGTGTATCTAAATATATCAAAGCATAGAAAACATACAGTGAAAAAACTATATTATAATCTTTGTTTTGTTTTTAAAGACAGGGTCTCACTCTGTCACCCAAGCTGGATTACCGTGGCCCAATCTCAGCTCACTGCAGCCTCGACCTCCCAGGCTCAGGTGACCCTCCTGCTTCAGCCACCCAAGCAGTACAGGCACCTACCACCACACCCAGCTAATTTTTTTCAATTTTTTGTAGAGACAGGGTTTCACCATGTTGCCTAAGCTGGTCTCAAACTTCTGGCCTCAAGCAACCCGCAACCCCTCAGCCTCACAAAGTACTGGGAGTGCAGGCAAGAGTTACCACACCTGCCCAATACTATATGGTAATTTTATGAGACCACACTCATATATGAGGTCCATCACTAACCTAAACTACTTTGTGTGGCAGATGACTTCTTTATCAAAGATAGATCATTTGTAATTCCTTCTTTACTTACCAGTCTCATTTAAAAACACTGCAGAAATTGAGATCAGTTTATAATTTTTATTAACGTAATCCAAAAATAAAGTGTAATACCAACAATGCGGTAGCTAATTTAAAATTCTCCTCCTTTAAGAGTATAAGAGCTTTTTTAAGGAAAAACAAAAAATATCAAGCTCGAAAGTTCAAGTTCTAAAAGTACAGACAACCTGGGCCACAGGGGGAAAAATGTGAAAAGAGAAAAATTCTGTAAGTCTTTTAAACAACAAGTATGGGCTGGGCTCAGTGGCTCACGCTTGTAATCGCAGCACTCTGGGAGGCTGAAGCAAGTGTATCCCTGAGGTCAGGAGTTTAAGATCAGCTTGGCCAACATGGTGAAACCCCATCTCTACTAAAAATACAAAAATTAGCCAGGCGTGGTGGCAGGCACCTGTAATCCCAGCTACTCAGGAGGATGAGACAGGAGAATTGCTTGAACCTGGGAGGAGGAGGTTACAGTGAGCCGAGATTGCACCACTGCACTCCAGCCTGGGAGACAGAGCAAGACTCCACCTCAAAAAAAAAAGATATGTTAACATTTTAAATGGTAGAGCCTGAATACGATTTGTTCACATCTTTGCAGTTGTCAGCTTTCTCACTGAACACGACATGGCTATCACCAAACATTAACTATAACCTGGACGAGCACAGAAAATTAAGTGAATGTTTCCTATAGCTGATGTGACAGCACTTAGCTCTCCAACTACAAAGCCCCCTGATTATAATGCCCAGTCATCTCATTTATTTTTTTTTTTTTTTTTTTGGTATCTCATTTATTTTCTAAAAGCAAACAATCACACCAAGTTGCTTTTCCTCCACTTTAAATGTAAAGAATTAAAGAACAAAAAGCTACATAAGCATCTTGAAGTTAAAACTTTCATGAATGGCAACAAAAAGAACAGTTACTTAATGTTCATACAATACATCATTCAACATCAACTTTTTTTTTTTTTTTTGAACCAGAGTCTCATCCAGGCTGGAGTACAGTGGCAGGATCTCAGCTTACTGCAGCTCTGCCTCCCGAGTTCAGGTGCTTCTCCTGCCTCACTCTCCCAAGAAGCTGGGATTACAGGCATGTGCCATCACATCTGGCTAATTTTTGTACTTTCAGTAGAATTGGGGTTTCACCATGTTGCCAGGCTGGTCAGAACTCCTAACCTCAATGATCCGCCCACCTTGGCCTCCCAAAGTGCTGCAATTACAGGCGTGAGCCACCACACCCAGCCAACATTAACTTTTATTTAAAAGTAATTTCTGTTCTGAACTGACAATACTGGCCAACATTACCTTGCGACAGTCATTTGTTTTGCTTTTTTAACAATGACTTTTTGACATTATGACAAATCTTAATGGTATACCTTACACTTAAGTTACCTAGTCTAAATAAATTTGGTAGTAGATATTAAGGTGTGTGGCAAAATCATACTCACAATAATTGAAAAAAAAATAACATATGCTGAAAGGAAAGAAAGGAAGAGAAACAGAAACGAGAGAAAAGAATCAAGCAAGAATGGGAGCAAGAACACACGGGCAACTAGAAAAAAACAGGACACAGGACCAAATTTGGAAAAGGTTGAGATATGGAGAATAGAAAATAGTAAAATAAGTAGGAAAAAGGAAGATGCATATACTACAAAAGGAAAAATCTAAGACAGAGGGAAAAAAGGCTATTTCATTTATATACATGAATTCGACCAATAAAGGTAAACACACATGTAGAACTTACCTGGTTTTCCTCCTGTACAACTCTGTACTGTTCCTTCCAAATGGTGATTTTGGAAGCTTCATCTTTTCTCAGGGCTCGTTCTTTCTTCAGCTCTGGGCTCCAGAAGGTCTTGATGCTATTCATTGAAGAACTCAATTTGCTCTCCTTTACTTCCACATCCTTCCTCAAGAGATCATTTTCCCTTAATACTTCCTTCAGCTGTGTCTGCAGATCCATGATTGTATTATCTCTTGCCTGACGAAGAGAGTGAGGTACAGTGGATGCCATACTCACAGGAGGGAGGTGATGCTCTCCAAATGCTATGGTGTCACTAGCAACCCCACTGCTAGCTATATTGGGACTACTACCCATAGCAGTCATCCGAACACCATAAGGCAGACGTCCCCCAGAACGGCCAAGTGTCATGGTGCTTTTAGGTGTTTCTGAACCCACATTTTCATGGTCACTTAGGTACATAGGGCCAGATGTGGCATAGGCAGCATTCAAAGATTGTATATTTTCCATTGAAAGGGTTTTCCCACTGCCACCTCCAACGCTGCTTCCAGAACTCCCTCCTGTACTATTGGTTCGACGATGACCCAAGCGAGGGGAACGTGGAAGCCTGGGTGAACGCCCAGGACTCTGGTTGCTGGGTTCCACCTTCCCAACAGAGCGAGCACTTCCATACATGGTTGCCAGTTCAACTTAGGAGTCAGAAAAGGTGTAAAGCAGAAAAAAAAAAAATGGGAACTTTGCAAGGTGTCTCTGTAGCTGTAAGTCAGTTCAAGGTTAATCATAAGAAGGTCCCAGCTGTCCAATCTTGAAGAAATATCTTACACCGTATCTGCAATTAAAAGATCACACATTAAATCCTCCAATCATAAATATTTCCCTTCTCAAAAACTTTCCATTACCCTCACTTAAGGAAGATCTACCCCTTCTACCATGTACTTACTCATGCATTCAAAATGTGATTACAGCATTATGTACTTCATAGTAAACAGTATTTTAGAGATATTTTAGATGTCTCAAAACTGAATGCTGAAAAGATACCATGCAACTGAAAAAGAAAAAAATTAGTGTCAGGTGCAATGGCCCATGCCTATAATCCCAGCACTTTGGGAGGCCAAAGTGGGAAGATGGCTTGAGGCCTGGAGTTCAAGACCAACCTGGGGTACATAGCAGGACCCTGTCTCTACAAAAAATAAAAAGAGAAAAACAAGAAGTATAAAGACTGACACAAAAGAGATTAAAATAAATATCTGAATATATAATTTTCTAACTGAAAACCCAAGATAATCAACTGACGAGTTATCAGAATAACAGAACTCAACAAACTGATCAGACTCAAGATCAATATATAAACACCAATACTTTCACATATATTTCAGTAGTAACAACTAGAAAATTCAGTTTTTAATTTAAAAGAAATTTTAAATTCCATTCACAACAGAACAAAACCATAAAAGCACTTTGATTTAAATCAACAAAAATGTGCAAGCATTTTTTGGGGGAAAAAAACTATAAAACTTTACTAAAAGACATGAAAGAAAACTACAAAGAAAAGTTATCTGTGTTCATGGATGAGAAGACAAACACTATTAAGATTCAGTTCTGGCTCACTGTGGTGGCTCACACCTGTAATCCCAGCACTATGGGAGGCCGAGGTGGGCAGATCACGAGGTCAAGAGATCAAGACCATCCTGGCCAACATGGTGACTAAAAATACAAAAATTAGCCCGGTGTGGTGACACACGCCTGTGGTCCCAGCTACTTGGGAGGCTGAGGCGGAAGCATCACTTGAACCCAGGAGGTGGAGGCTGCAGTGAGCCAAGATTTCGCCACTGCACTCCAGCCTGGCGACAGAGCAAGAATCCGTCTCAAAAAAAAAAAAAAGGTTCAGTTCTTCCCCAACTACTTAGTACAATCCCAATGAAAAATCTCTACAGGATTTTGCTAGCCAGCTATAGATCTCTCTTTCACAGGTGTTGAAGCATTTTTCAAATAACTCAACAAGCTGAATCTAAAATTCAAATGGAGAGTAAAGATACAAGAGTAAACAATTTAAAATAGATAAAGAAGGAAGACATCCCTCAACAGCAAGATAAATTACAAATCCATAATTCATTATTTGTACTGCAAAAATCCAAAAGCTCTGAAAATAAGTTTTTCCTTAACTCATCTAGCAGCAAAACCTGACCTGATTTGAGCTTATTGTTTATATGTATCCCACATAGTGTGACTTCACATATTTCATTGAGAAAACAATGTGTGTGATTACTGAATACTATATAATCCCCACTAAGTATTACTGGAAAAAATTCCTGACAACAAAACCACATCTGACCAGCAAGGTTTCTCATAATATATTGTAGCCTTGTAAAGCTATAGTAATGAAAATACACAGTACTAACCCAAGAATAGGGTCTAAATTATATATGGGAATGTAATGTATGTTAAATGTAAACTATATATGGAATTTAATGTATGTTAAATGTAACATTTCAAAACAGTGAGTGATATGGTTTGGCTGTGTCCCCACCCAAATCTCACCTTGAATTGTAATAATCTTCATGTGTCAAGGGTGGGGCCAGGTGTACATAACTGAATAATAGAAGCGGTTTCCCCTCTACTGTTTTAGTGGTAGTGAAAAAGTCTCATGAGATCTGATGGTTTTATAAATGGGAGTTCCCCTTCATAAGCTCTCCTGCCTGTTCCCATGTAAGATGTGACTGTTTCTCATTCACCTTCTGCCATGATTGTGAGGTTTCCCCAGCCATGTGGAACTGAAAGTCCATTAAACCTCTTTCCTTTTTAAATTACCTAGTCTCAGGTATGTCTGTATTAGCAGCATAAGAAGAGCCTAATACAGTTAGGAAATGACAAATCACTCAATAAATGAAGTTTGAATAACTGGTGCTCTTTGAAAAAAATAAAGTACATCCCATCTTCAAATAGTACACCAAAATAAATTCCACATATGTTAAAGTTATAAATTTTTTAAACCATTAAAAGTACTAGAAGAAAATTTTGAAGACTATCCTTGTGAACTTGAGTTAGGATAAGGTTTCTTTAAAAAACCAAAAGCAAAAACCATAAAGAAAAACAACTAATACTGAAACTAGCTCGACCATAGAGACCCCTACCCAGGCAGTGCTGAAGGAATTAAGAAGCAGACACCAAGATAGAACAGCAAAGTGGGACTCTCCAGAGGTCAACAGCCTTCCAAGCTGAGAGCCTCAGGGGGCTGAGGGGCTGAGGGCCTCGAACAGACTCTGACCCACGTATTTATTCTCTCTGAACAGGTAATTATTATTAACAAACAGATGTTCTGTGTTTTCTCACAGAACCAAGACAAACTAGGTAGGCAGCTAGTGCCTGCTTACCACTGATCAAGGACAAACTAGAAACTATTCTCCACAAGGGAGCCACAGGGGCAGGGTCACATATCCCATGCTTAAACAATTGTTTTAACCAGTGTATGATATACATATACTGTTTTGTTATTTCAGAATGCCCCAAGCAGTTTTCCATCGTGGGGAGCCGGCCAGGTTTTCCTTGCCATCATTTTCAGCAAACAATATAATATATCATACACGTTAGGATTTGTCCCAATACAATTATGTCAAAATGACAAAATATTATAACAAAAAATGCTGTAAATAAAGTTAAAAGATAAACCAAAAGCTAGGTGAAAAATACAGTCAACATATATATAATGATCTTTAAACAGAATATGTAAAGAACTCCCACGTGGGAAATGCCAATTTTGAAACAGCAATAATTAGAGGGAAGGAAACTTGTGTTATAAAGGGGAAAAATATTTGTGGAGGCTTTAGCTCAGCTTATAAAGCTTTATACTCAAAATACCATAAAGCGCCTGAATTTTTTTTTTTTTTTAAAAAGAAAACATGTTCATACTCTACAAGTGTAATTAAAACAAATTTTAAAAACACAAGCAGTTATCCCTTGGTATCTGCTGGAGATTGGCTCCAGCAGAGAGTTTACAGATATCCAGGAACCACCCCACCCCATCCCCTCCAGACACCAAAAAATCCCAGGATGCTCAAGTCCTCAAGTCCCTGATATAAAATGGCACAGTACTTGCATAAAACATATGGACATCCTCCAGTATACTTTAAATCATCTCTAAATTATTTCTAATACTTAATACAATGTAGATGCTATGTAAATCGTTGTTACACTTACTGTGTTTTTTTATTTGCATTATTTTTTCTTGTATTATTTTTTTCCCCAAGTATTTTCTTTTCACCCCCCCCCCCCCGCTTTTTCTTTTTCCAAGGTGACTTTAAGATTCATTCCCAAATATTTTTGGTCCACAGTTGGTTAGATTTATGAATGCAGAACTCACTATACTATACCTATCAACTTTATACACTTCTTTCAAAGACAGTACAGATCTAAACTAGATCTCTCTGATTTCCCAGCATTATTTAAAAGAATTAGCTTACGTTAAGAAACAATAGGCTTCACCATATTAAATAATATTTTCCAAAAATCCATTGTTATATAAATTGATTATTATAAGTGTTTCTTCACTGAAAATAGTACCCAAGTAAATTATTTTGTCAAAAATACGATTCTAAAGACAGTACCTATTCTGGTCAAACTCAAACAGGTTAAAAAAAATCCTCAAAAATGTGAACCACACAGGTGGTCTCATCTCTAAATTAATGAACCAGTAAAGAAAGCCCTGGGCTAACAACAAACAAGACAGGAAATACACAGAATCTGAACCTTTCAGGAAAGACTCCAATCTCCCTCCATCTCAGAAATTGCTATGGTACCCTAAGTTCAGAAATTGCAATATTTTGCTAGTAATGTTAAGAAACTCCTTTCCAGGACTAACCTAGCTCATGAAGCAAAAATTCCTTTTCATGAGTAATCTGGACTGTAAAGTGGTGACAGACAGTAATCTACAAATCACTACTTAAGAAGAAATCTATTTCAAGATCAAAGAGGGATACAAAATTGTTTTTTTAAGTAATTTAAATATTGCTTAAAATAAGGGAGCCATTCATTATCTGGAATGTTTTGAATGATAACAAAAGCTAACATTTAGTGACTGTTTCATATGCAAGGCATTATACTATGAGTTTTATAAGATTTAATAGTTATATATTAATATTTATACCTAATATAACTATTAAATATTCATTTATAATTTAATATTTTGTATGAATAAGTAAGATGGGTCCTGTCATTATTTCCATTCTACAAATGAAGAATGTTGAGGTTTATAGGGTTTAAGTGACTTATCTAAAGACACACAGCTATTAAATGGTAGAATCAAGATTCGAGTTAAGGCAGCCTAATTCCCGATCCCTGGAGGCTGTTAACTATCATGCTTGATCACCATCATCTGCTGATGTTAACGTCTCAACTGTCCATAGGGTATTAAAGGCTCTCACAGTTTTAAGGTAGTGTAGCCTACTAGTTTACCACTCTAAACCTTAGGTTACATCTTACATTTCCCAAGTGTAAAATTTAAACAATCACTTATATCTACTAGGTAGGAGAAAGTCCTTTTTAAAAGACGGCAGGCAGAACAAAATAAGTAAAACAATACAGAATAATTTAGAAATTCAAGAGTTTCAGGAATCACACCATGAGAACCTGAAACTGCCATAATCATGAGAAAAAAAAGAAAAATCCCAACCGTGCTGCTATGCAGAACTCTATTTTCATGTAGTGGAGTAACTAAATCACACTAAATAGGGTAAGATCCAATAACAAAAACTCACATTGTTTTCAACATTAGCAGATGTACTCTAATATTCAAGTCACTTTGAGGTCCAAAATGGTATTTGTAAGTGGAGTCTG